CTGGCGGAGTTCTGTGCGCACGTGGCGCGAGACGTGCTGGCGCACGTGGACCTCGCGGCGGAGGCGCGGGTTAAGCCTCGGCCAGCAGCGACTGCACACCTCGAGGCGGATGAGGACTCCGCGAGCGATGCCGAAGGGCTCAAGGGGCGAGTCCCGCTGGAGCTCGTTGACGTGGGTGGAGGCGGCGGCAGCGACGTAGAGGAGGACGTGGAGGACGCCGCGATTACCGAGATCTCCCGGTTTCCGCTGCGGGACCACGTCAGAGCAACCGAGCTGGCCCTACAGCAAGACCAACTGCAGCGCTTGGACCAGAAGGGCCGCCTCAGCTACGCCGATAAGCAGTTGAAGAACCTCGACCGAGCGTACAGCGGCATGCTGCAGCCCAGCTTTGCACTGCCAGCCAGCAGCGGCGCGCGGGAACATCAGGGCACGCGGCTGGACGAGACCTTTTCTGACATGCTCGCCCTACAGCGGCAAAGCATTGCGCTCCAAAAGAAGCAAGCGAGCCCGGATGGAGAGACCTTGCCCGAGGCTGCGGACGACTGGCTACCCAGCGGTGCTCCTCAGCCTGCTGCCGAGGACGCGCAGCCGGAGCTCGTGCCGCAGCTCTTGGCCATGCAGGGCCCGGCGGCTGTTGCGTGGAAGCTTGTCAATGATGCCGAGTGTACGGAGGAGCAGATTGACGCGGTGGCGTTGTTCGCGCTGTCCCTGCAGAAACGTTTTGACGGCAGGCCAGACAAGACAACGCATCTGCCCCCCGTGGTGTCCGCGACGGGCAACCACAGAGCGATCTGGCTCGGGGGAGGCGGCGTCGGCAAGACACGCACCCTCTCCAAAGTGGTGGAGCCGATGGCCATCGCCTACTTCGGCGAGCAGGGGTACCTCGGCAAAGCACAGTCCAACCACGCGGCACACAATCTCGGCCCGCGCGGAAGAACTATGCACTCCTCCAACGGGCTGCTCATGGCGGACTCCCTGCAGACCGCCAGGCTGCGCTTGACCTCGCAGACGCAGAAGAAGTTGGACCGCCTCACAGGCACACTCGGCGTCGACGTGATCGATGAGCTGGGTGCTGTGCCGGGGCCCCTGCTGCATGCCGATGCACTGCGCACGACCTACGGCAGGGCGTTGCGCTACAACCTCGACCCCACGAAGTACATGCGCCCGCAGGAGACGTGGGGGCGCATGGCGGTGAAGATCCTGTGCGGGGACTTCTACCAGTTGCCGCCGGTCCCCGCCACCGCCTCTCTGCTGGCGCCTCCCGCGGGCCAGTCCTACGAGCACCAACAAGGTAGGAAATTGCTCGCCGACTTCGAGTACGTCATCGACTTCTTGCAGATGCAGCGCTTTACAGACCCGTTGCAGCTCGAGGTCCTCCACGCCATGAGGACTCCAGGCGGCAAAAAGGTCTCTGACGAGAGCTGGCAGGCGATCGTCAAAACAGAGGTCCTTAGCCCCAGCGGTGCTGTTCAGCCTGCTGCCACCAGCAGCGAAGCCCCTCAGCAACCTCAGTGGGATCATCGGTTGCGTGCAGCACGAGGCTGGTACGAGTCTGCATATGAGTGGCGCATCGTCTCTTACGCCATGCATGCGCAGGCCAAGCTTGATGCGCACGATGCTGGCCAGCTGCTCTTCTACGTGCCGGCAATCGACAGACCAGCTGCGCGCCTTGCGAAGCCTGACTTCGACGAGATGCGCGCGATGCCCAACGTCGGCGCTACCGCAAAAATGCCGGGACTGCTGCCGCTCTTCATCGGCATGGAGGTCATCCTGACGGAGTCCGTCTTGCCACCTCAGCATGTCCGTGGCGCGCCGGGCAAGGTGGTAGGCATAGAGAGGCACGCTCTGGAGCCTCCAGTGGAAGGCCGTCCGTCCATTGTCTCGGATGGTATTGTACTACTCCGCTACATGCCAAAGGCCGTCTATGTCAAGATGGACAGCAGCGATGAACTCTTCCCGACGACCGCGCCAGTGACAGCTGGCAGTGCTTCTCAGCCTGCTGGCCCCGACCTGCGCGGAGTGCTCGCGATCACCGCGCAGGCCCGCCCCTGGAAGTTCAAACCAGCGGCGGGTGGCCCAGCCATCTCGGTATCCAGGACGCAGTTGACCGTGCTGCCCAGGAAGCAGGGCACTCTGCACGGCGTGCAGGGCAAGACGGCGGACCCAGGCTTCATCGTGCACTGGGCGTTTCCGCCAGGACTCAAGAAAGAGTCCATTTGGCTGGCCTACTACGTCAGCCTGTCGCGGCCCAGGAGCTTCGGCCAGCTCTTGAGCCACGGCTTGCCTGACCGAAGCATCATCGAATCCGGCCCCCCGGAACAGATCGCCAAGGCCTTCGCGGAGCTCTTCGCGGACAAGATTACCGCGACGAAGATCGCTTGCGCGAAAGCCCGACAAGAGCTAGGCTGGCCTGCACGAGCCTAGCTCTACGGGGCGTAGTGAGATACGGGGCGTAGTGAGATGCGGTGCTCCTCCGTCTAGTGCTGTGCCCGTGCGTCGTGAGTTACGGGGCTCCTCCGTCTGCATACTGTGTGCACTGGTGCTGATGTGCAAACCATGGTGCGCACCAGCGCCTTCGAAAGAGCGTGACGAGAGATGCAAACGCAAGAGCTTCGAGCTCCTGTTTTGGTGCTAAAACCATTTATACAAATAAATCGTTTGAGACTCAATCCGTTGATAGCAGTGTCTCGTTCGCACCTACATCCATTGAAGCTCCGTGCGTTGATAGCAGTGTCTCGTTTGGACATACATCCATTCAAGCTACGTGCGTTGATAGCAGTGTCTCCTCTGGACATACATCCATTCAAGCTCCGTGCGTTGATAGCAGTGTCTCGTTTGGACATGCATCCATTCAAGATCCTTGCGTTCATAGCAGTGTCTCTTCTGGACATACATCCATTCAAGCTCCGTGCGTTGATAGCAGTGTCTCGTTTGGACATACATCCGTTCAAGCTTCGTAAGTTGATCGCAGTGTCTTGTTTGACCGCATATCCATTCAAGCTCCGTGCGTTGATAGCAGTGTCTCGTTTGCAAATACATCCATTCAAGCTCCGTGCATTGATAGCAGTGTCTCGTTTCGACATACATTCTACTATTACTTCTACTGATACCGTTACTGCGGGGGCTAACTTCCCCTACTACCATTCTACTATCCAAGACATCCGCCGTACTTCACTGTTACTACTACTGTCATCCACCCACTCCAATTATACTTCACTTCGCTGTTACCACTACACCCACTACTACTACTACACTTCACTCGTTCACTCCCGCCAACTACAACTACTACTTCACTGTTACCACTGTTTCATCTCTCCTACTCTTATTGCTACTACTACTGTGACTGTTACTGCTGCTGCATGCCTCCAGCTATGCTTCTACATATCGATGTTAGGTTGCTTTGCCGGGATAATTTGATTCCTTTTGGGGATGTCTTGGTGCCCTCTTGGGCTGTTTTGTTCGCCTCTTGGGCCGTCTTGGGGCCCTCTTGGGCCGTTTCAGTGTCCTCTTGAGGGCATTTTGGGCCGTCTTGGGGTTATCTTCGGGGCCTCTGGGGTCATTTGAGAGCGTGGGGAAACCGAAGGCGAGAACGCCCAAATCCGTCAACAACCTACAGGAAATCAATGATTTTTGCCTCTGGGGGCCCTTTTGGGAGGCCTCTTGGAGGCCTCCTGGGCTGGTTTGGAGGCCTCGCGGGCCGTCTTGATGCCATCTTGGGCGTCTTGCGCCTACCTTTCGGCGATTTGGAGCCCTCTCGGGCCGCCTTCAGGGCCCCTTGGGGCCCTCTTGGCCCGTCTTGGGGCCCTCTCGGTCCAGTCGAATTCACGTGCCACCACTTCCGGATCCCAGGGGGGACGCGGGAAGTCCCAGGGGGCACGCGCCAAGCCACGGGAGATTTGAGAGCGAGGGGTCCCGGCCTTTTGACGACTCTTCAGGAGTGAGGATTGAGGCTTAGAGGAGCAGGCAAAGGACCTGAGGACACGCCCGCTCCGTGCCCAGGGGCACGGAGGCGGATGCCCTCGGAATTCCGTTTTCAGAGTGCGTGCGCGCGCGCGCCAGCGTCTGGTAATCGATGAGGGCGCGCCGACTCAGCGTCGACCGCCATCGATGTAGCGTCGATGATGGCGTCGGTCAGCGTCGAAGTCGCGAGAGGCAGCAAGAGTCGATGATCCTTAGGACGCGTGTTAGCCCAAGCGTGTGTTTGCCTCGCTCGGGGCCGCCAGCAGCGCGCAGCTTGTGCCAGCTGAGTAGGCCGCGGCTTAAATTGACCCTCCAATTATTGGCCATGTGTGTCTCGCCGTTTCGACCTACCGACGCCTGTTCGTACTGATGTTTGTAAGAGATCACATGCCCCGGAATTTCCTACACCTGTTCAACAACCAGGGCATGCATTCAATTGCACATGCACCTGCCGTTTCACACCGAGTTATATATGCCCGGACTTGCGTGTGCATATTGTGCCGTCTCGGCGTTCTCTTGTCGTTCGCCCTCCACGTTGCTTTCCTTTTCTGTGTCCGCCAGGTCCGTGACCGTGTCTGTTCCTGTCAAGGATGTAGTTCCTATGGATATCCCCTTCGTGGAAGATCGTCCCTGTGTCGCCGACATGCTACCCCGTCGCTGTGCTACAGCAGCGCTGCAGCTGCGCAGCCGTCCTCAGTCGTGCTGCTGCGGCTATGTCGCGGCGTCCCGCGGCGATGCCGCCCAAGAGCCCGCTTTGCTTCGGCTGCCCCGCGGCTGTCCCGCGCGCCCTTTTCAGCGCAGGGCGGGGTCGCCTCGACGAACGCAAGCCGCGGCCTCCTCAGTGCCAGCCCTCGCTGCGCCGCCTGCGTGGTGCTGAAGGGCCTCGGTGGACAAGCCCACGTTGGCGTTAACACACGTGCTGAGGAGGAGGAGGAGGAGGAGGAGGAGGAGGAGGAGGAGGAGGAGGAGGAGGAGGAGGAGGAGGAGGAGGAGGATCACCGGAAGCTGGCCCGGGAGGCCCCCGTGAGTTGCCACAGCAGGTCCTCGCGCGCGACATGGTGCCCAGCAGCCGGCGCGGCCTGCGCCCCGCGCTGGGCACGTGGTGCCTCTGCGTCGTGGACGACTGCCACTGCGCGCCCGGGCCGCTGGCGGAGGCCTGGCGCTTCGCCCTGGAGCGCGGGCTGGTGCACCTGCCTGGCGCCTCGGGGGCGCCCCCCCGCGGGGTCCAGAAGGCGGGCGCGGCGGGTGCGGGGCCCGCGAGGCGCGCCGGCCTCTGCGGCCTGCGCAGCGTGGAGGGCGCGGCCGTGCTGCTGACGGCCCGCTCCGGGACCGCCTTCTGTGAGAGGCGGAGCCTGCTGCGGCACCCCTGGCTCTTCAGCATGGAGGAGGTCTCCGAGACGGACATGCTGAACATCATCGGGGACAACATCTCGCACTTCTCCTTCGTGAAGGACATGCCGTCGGAGATCCAGGCGCGCAAGATGCGCTACGTGCGCCTGGTCCAGGGGTACATGCTGCGCCTGCGGCAGAGGCAGGAGCTCGCGTCGGCGGTCACGCTGCACGCGTTCTTCCGCCTGTTCAAGAGCCTGCTCTGCCTGTCCACCAGCTGGCTGTCGGAGCTGAAGGCCGCGGACTTCCACGCCTTGATGCTCCACGAGCTGGTGCGGGAGACGGTGGACCGCCTGGCCACCGGGCGGCAGCGATCCGCCGCGCTTGCGAACCTCGCCGAGCTGCAGCTCGAGGTCTTCGGCGGGCTCGTCAACGTTGAGGGCAAGGACCCCAAGAAGAGCAAGCTTAACAAACGTACTCCGAGTTGCTCGATAAGCACGGGTTGGTGGATCGTGTAGGGGTGTAGACTGATCCTGTCTGGCGCTGAGCGTGGGAGAGTTGGGTGGCGTCAGGGGGTGGGTTCGGCGAGATGGAGGGGCTGGAATTGGTCGTCGGGCAGAGTGGCATGGAGAGGGTCGTCATTGAACAACCTGGAGTAAACTTCCGGAGGTCCGCGCAGACTTGTTGGATCGGCGCTGGTCCCCTCTCCCTGGCGTGCTGAGCGCGCTGGGGGCGGCGCCAGAGGCGCCGCCTGGGGGGTTGCGTGGACCTCCGAAAGTGTTTGATCGTGCAGCTTGTTTCGTCCATTACAGTGGAGACCCATGCCAAGAAACACCCTGCTTGCCTCCAGGGTGCCCTGGGTTTCTTGGGTTTCGATGATATTGCTATGGAAAGCGTGACGTTCCCACCACAAATCAAAGGACTTCCTGGGGTCTCAGGTTTGGGCTTCTTGCGGAAGGTTTCTTGTGAACTGGCCTCCACTGTAGGTTTTGCCTGAGAGAGGGTTCTCGAATTGTTTCTGGTGGGGGTGGGCCCTGGGTCAGAGGCGGCCCCCGGCGTGGTCACGGGGTTCCTTGGGGGTCCCCAGGAGGAGGAGGAGGAGGAGGAGGAGGAGGAGGAGGAGGAGGAGGAGGAGGAGGAGGAGGAGGAGGAGGAGGAGGAGGTGGTGGTGGTGGTGGTGGTACTCAGCCCCTGGTCGAGTCTGCATTGATTATCCAATTGCAATTGACCGCTGTGCGCATAGTGGGGAGAAGCTCCCCTCGCGAAACTTGAAAGTCGGCACTCCCGTCGCGACTAGATTCCTAATCGGGGAACACCATAGAAACCGTTAGGGTCGAGAGGCCTAACGAAATCATCTCGAGTAATGCGCAGTGGCACTAAGTCCCAAGAGTGAGAAGTCAAACGTCCCAGCACGCACGCACACACACACAACACGGAGCGAGAGGGAGGGAGAGGAAGCCACACAGAGGGAGCAAGAAGGCAGAGGCAGGCGAGGACACACCGCAAAGATCAAGGAGAGGCCCCAGCACTTATGTCAGGCCTCTACTATTCCCTTTGCCCTTTCAGGGCCTACGTTTGGCTGAAAAACAGGATGGGCCCAAGAGTCCAAAAACTAAACTCAGTCCAGCTCGGAAACACACTGCCTGGGTCCCCCAGTTTCTAAAACATTGACAGGTCCTAACAGCTGACTACTGCTGCCACCAGCTTCCCTCAGAGCTTCTCAGAACCTCACTCCTACCTCCGTTGGCCTGGCCTCCCTTCAGCATTTTCGTTAGGAAATTCTGGAGCTTGCTCTCGGGGCCCCCTCGCGGCTGAGGGCCTGGCTTCTCACTAGCTCCAGCTTCATGAGGCGCTTGGTGACCAGGAGATTGGCAGGCACTATACACATGTTGGGCGAGTCCCCTATCTGCACGAACGCATGAATGTAGAACGAGTGACGATGTTTGGCCTCTCCCTTCCATCTCAATCGTGGTCTTCACTCGCCAATACTTGATGTACTCCACATCTATCTCCATCTTCTCCCTTCGAAGCTTCTCGACCAGGGAGGTAGGCCAATTACTTGTGCTTGAATATCTCGATCTTCTTTCACAGCCTGCTGTGCGACCAATACCGTCAGCACCGCCATGGCCACCATGAGTGACGGAGGGGCCCGCCACTGCACTCGAATCCTCTTCCACTATGCACATGAGTTGTTGTGCTGCTCCGATCACGGGTGCATTGAAAACGCAGTCCTTGTCTGCCGCGTGCTTGCTGCTCATACATCCCTCCGACGCCCTCGTGCGCTGCAAAACATTCATCATCTGCTTCAGGGTGTTGACCGCCATCTCATCCTCCGTGTCGTAGCCATCAGGCTCCTCCATGTCCATGGCCGTGGGCACATCCTCTGGTTTCGACCCCAATGCTGCAGCGCCTCTCCACCCTATGGCACCCTTCACTGATGGGCCGCATACTTCCCGTCCACGATGATCCTCCACTTCCGTAAGGAACCTGTCTCGCCATAGTCCATCTTCAACACTTTTGACAATGGTATCTAAGTTCAGAACATGAATGCATGTCTCAAACTCTCTCTGCTGGTCCTTATGCTTCGTGACGCGAGTAGTCGGGTTGCGTAGCATTCGACATTTTTCCGCAAGCAAAGACCATGGCGGAACACTTTTGCAATAAGCACGTCTCTTGATTGTTGCACAAATGCCACGAAGATCCCGGTCCACTTCATCCTTGATTGTAGGGTTCCGTAGGCGCTGTCCGTCGTGTCGGGTATAACGTTGTGCTGGAAGCGCATCAATATCAGGAATCTGTTGTGCTGACTGCCCTGTCTGCCAACCTGGCTGCTCCAAATGTTGAGTCCACATCGCCACCATGGGATGCGACAATGTCGGAGTGTTGTAGAAACGCCGCCCATGCCCCACAATGGTAGTAGCCATTCGCCGAGCCATTCTGTGAACTAAACTATGATACTTTTGTTGCCACGCATGTCGGTTCTGCTCCCCCAAGCTGTCAATTTGCGCTTGCTGGTGCTGCTCCTTGACTTTGTGCAGGTCCTTGGTCGAAATCTTTAATTGTTACTGCAAACTTGTAATCTCCTCGATCTGCGCCTCGGTGCCAAGGGATCCCATATTCTCACGCAGAATAGCACGCCATTTGACCAATTCTCGTTGTTGTTGTCGAGCCACGCGATGGTTCTGATCTCCCTCTGAGCATTTGTGGGAAAAACCAAGTGCAATCTGCTGAACCTCTCTCACCAAGTGATGCCGCGCTTCATCAGGGGTAGCAAGCTCTTCATATTGTTTCCACCACAGAAAGGACTGATAGCCATGATCCTCCTCTTCCTTAAGGACACTGTCTCGCCATAGTCCATATACAACATCTTTGACGAGAGTATCTAAGCTCCATGGAATGCGAGGGGTACAACCCCCACGTGAGAAATCAATGATATATATGGCTTGTACTTGCAGTGGGTGCTCCCATTCCCACTGCGCTGGTGCCATTTGGAGTCGTCGCCCATGCTTGTTCAGTATACAATAATCAACCATTATCGTAAACCCTGCTCTGGAAACTCCAAGATAGTCAATGCCTGGACTCGAAGCTCGCCCATGAAAAGTGTCGTGACCTCCAAGGCAAGTGTTAGCAAGACATAAACTATAGTTCTCCATGAACTCTCTTGGCAATGTCATGCAGTGGTGCTCCCGTTGAGGTCGCCACAGCCGAGCAGGATTCTGTTCGTCAGGCACACCTGCATCATCATTGATATCTCCGCCAAAGACTGTCGGGCACCACGTCGGTTGAAATCTACATATCTGATCCATCCAGTCAAGCATCTGTTTGACCGTCTTCTTGTACGTGAGCATTTCCTTCACCACCTTCGCCACCCAAGGGCAGACAGGGAAATAGGCCGCAATCGTCACCATATGGAGGCGTCCTGACCGTATTTCCACCGCTCCCGTTCGTCCTTGTAGTTCTGCGGGCGGTGAGGGAGTCTGCGCAATAGATCTTAGTCGAATAGGTCTCCGCCGACATCGAATCTGCACTCCCGTGTAAGCGGAAACCAACGTCCCCTTTCCATATCCCCAATTACTAACGTGAGCATAAAGATCTGAGATAGTCATACACTGTCCATCACTTGGCCATTGTCGTATTCTAGTGCCAGTGAGTGAAGCGATGTCCATGGTCTGATATGCTTCAGAAGTCTCCAGTGCCCTGCCACTCTGCACGAGGGACGTCACATTGTGCTCAATACAAACGAGAGAAAAGAGATGTGTATGCATGGCGGCAGGCAGGCGCCGCGACGGGCAGTGCCTATACGGAAGGGCAGGATGGCGCTGGGTAGGGGAGAACACACTTCCCTGAGGCCGCGCAGGGAAGGTGAAGGGACCTGGGCCAGGGCGGCTAGGAGGAGGAGGAGGAGGAGGAGGAGGAGGAGGAGGAGGAGGAGGAGGAGGAGGAGGAGGCCGGGGTTGCCCAGAGTTGCCCCGGGTTGCCCCGACGGCCCAGGCGTTGCTCGGGGTTGCCCGGGAGCGCCCGTGCAGTGCCGGAGCCAGGCAGTGCCACGCAGTGCCGGCCAGGCAACGCCAAGCCGCTCCCGCCAGTGTCAAGCAGCGCCGAGCAATGCCGCGCAGTGCCGGGCAACGTGAAGCAACGCGAAGCAACGCCGAGCAATGCCAAGCAGCGCCAAGCAAAGTAAAGCGGCGCCGAGCAACGCCGAGCAGCGTCGAGCTATGGCAGGCAGTGCCGAGGACTGCACCTTCGTGCCAAGCCACGCGAAGCAGTGCCAAGCGACGCCAAGCAATGCCAGTCGATGCCAAGCAGCTGGATGTGCTTTGCGGTGCCCTGCGGTGCTCCGAGCTTCCTGGGGAGAAAGCGGCCCCCCCAGTCGGGGTCGCGCCAGGCTCGTTTTTCTTCGGTGGCCAGCGCGGGGGTGGAGGGGGGGCAGGCCATCTAAGAAGGCTTGAGGGTCAAGGGCGGAAAAACAACCCCGACCCCCATCAATTGCCTTTGCGGAGCGGCCCTGGGCGTCAGCTGAACAGCCCTGCCCTGTTCGATTCCTTCCTTGGGTGCGTTTACTAAAAGGCTTCGCCTGTCGGGGTGCTTATTTTGAGGGTTGCTTTTTTCTACCTTCGAAGGGGGGTTCTCAGAAGCCTCCGCGCCTTCGAAAAGTCTTCGAAGCCTTCTCCGAAGGCGGGGATGGCTTCTCGGAAGGCGCGAGGGCTTCTGAGAAGCCCCGCCGCCTTTTGAGAGGGCCTGCCCCCTTTCACTTCCCCCCAAGGCTCGTCGCATGTTCTTTGCCCCCTCAGGACCGAGTCTAAGTTTCGCCGGAGTGACCTTTCGCTGGAGTGACCTTTCGCCAGAGTGAGCTTTGGTGCGGGCGCACCGGGGTCCCCAAATGGCCGACGTTTCCTGAGCCTTCCCCGAGGACGCAGGCAGCCTTTCAGAAGGCCAGAGGACTTCTGAGAAGCCCCGCCGCCTTCTGAGAAGGCCTCATCCTCCTCCTCCTCGTCCTCCTCCTCCTCCTCCTCCTCCTCCTCCTCCTCCTCCTCCCTCCTCCTCCTCCCCCTCCTTCTCCTCCTCCTCCTCCTCCTCCGCCCCCTTGCTCGCCGCCGATCCTCAGGACATCGTGTACCCGTCGCCCGGGCTGGAGAGCACCCCCGCCGATGGCGCCGAGGCGCTCGGCGGCCTGAGCGACAGCAGCAGCGAGGACAGCGACGGCGCGGCCGCCGCGCCGCATGCGGCGGCCCCCGCGGCGGGGCGGGACCAGGCTTGCCAGGGTGTGCTGCGCTGGGCCTCCCAGATTGAAGTCGGGCCTGTCCCTCTACAGGGGGAAGGTTCAAAAAGAGTTGAAACAAATAGTCGGGGGGCGATTCTCCTTGTATTTTTTGACTGTTTTGGAATACTTTTGGAATGTTGTTAAATTTCGTCAAGGATCCGCCTATAGGAGTACACGCCCGACCTAATGCTGCGCTGGGCCTCCCAGATGGGGTCCACGTAGGTGGGGTCGAAGGATCGCGCTGCATCGCCAATGCATCGCCGATGCGGCTCGATGTGGAGCCCTACGTTCTCCAGGCCGACGGCGCCGCATCGGCGATGCATCGGCGATGTATTGGGGATGTGGTGCGATCCTCCGACCCCGTCTGCTCGGACCCCGTTTGAGAGGCATCTATCTACGTTGCATCTTCGGGGAGCCGGTTCTTGTCCTGTAAATGGCTGTTGTACTCCAAAGTGGGTTCGACGCGGATTCGACGTGAATTCGATGCGAATTCGATGTGGATTCGACACGGATTCGACGCGTTCGGCATGAATTCGACATGGATTCGGTATGGATGCGACATGGATGTGACACCGATGATTGGCGCGATGGGACAGACGAGGCCCCCCAAAGATGCAACCACAGGTGTTGACAGACCCACCTCTCGGATGATCGGATTTCTTCTGCCCGGGCTGTTTTCCAGGATTTTGGCCCGTGGGGCTCGTTTTTGGGTCCAGGGAGCATCGAGCATCGATTCAGGATGCACACCTGCCGCCGGGGAAGCGGTCGGGAGGCCTCGGGCCGCGGGTGACAGCGGGGGTGCCTCTGGCCAAGGGTGTCCCCAGGATTGCCAGCTGGAGGCCCCCGCAAAGTCTGCATGGCGCCCCTCGCAGGGCCCAGAGGGCACCCGCCGGGGGGGGGGGCTCAAAGTGGCGCGAACAGCTGGGGACACCCCAGGTCAGGGATACCTCCCCAAACTGCAGACGTCACGATTTTTCCGCGACGTCGCCCCCCCCCCCCCCCAGAGGTCCCGACCCATCCCCTGAGGACTGGGTCTTCCTGCCGAGTCCTCTCCTGAAGGTCCCAGGGCCCAGCGAGGGCCACCAGAGAGGCCGAGTATTGCTAAAAACCTTCGTCGTGTTTTTTGACGACGCGAGAGGGTCTGGTTTCAGCAACCCCCGACAGGTTCGGCTCATGGCTCGGGCGCTCAGGGAGCTGCGCTTCGCGACGCTGCGCCTCGAGGGTGTTCGG